AGGATTCGAACCTGCGTCCAGGAGCATCCCAGACACTGCCTTAATCGACTGAGCTACAACAGGGTAAAAGAGTTGAAACCGAAGTTTCAACTCTTTTACCCTGTCGTAGTTCAGTCGATTAAGGCAGTGTCTGGGATGCTCCTGGACGCAGGTTCGAATCCTCGTCACGGCCCTTGTGGATTTGCTCATGCATATCATGTGTTTTATTTTTGGCCAATTCGGCCGAGGTTGGTGGATTTGTTGACAGGAACGATTGTGCGTTTCTGCAGGTCGTCGTTTCGTGTTAATCCTTTACGTTTCTTGATATTTGATTTTCAGGCTCCTTGTAGGAAGGTCCACAATACTGTACTTTTAGTTTTATCGGATTATCTTTATTGTGTGTGTGGGTTTGGGGGAGGGAGGGGATTACGGTGAATAGAATGCTGGAGTTTTTTGAAGAGTCGTTCACGTTACTCGAGTTGGGAATTACGTTGGATGTTTGGGGAGGGGCTGATAGATCATTTTACTGACAATTATGTGCATTGGGGGTAGTGCATGTTGGTTATGTTGGGTACTGCGGCGTAGCTCTGTCCTTAAATCATTTGCTTCATGGTGAGGGGTGTTATTTTCCGTTGTGTTGAGTATATAGGGTAGCTTTATTGGTTCTACATTTTTGTACATGGGAATTCTACCTGTGGTTTGACTTTTCACTTCGTTGGGTTGATGGACTCAGGGTTCCGTAGGTCTGTTGCTGTTTGTTCTAGAAATTTTATGTTTTACGGGACTTTGATGAGTTTCGTTTGTTGTTCTTGATGTGTATGGGTCGTTGTCATTTTGTTGGGCTTCTGTTCTACTAATTGTGTGCTTGGTACTGTTGATGTATTTTTGTATTATACAGTTCAGGTGGAGCTTTGTTGTGAGTTGTGCTTAAGGTTCAGTCTTTGCGTTTTTGTTTGTCGAAGGTTGTCATAGTTGTGTATAGCTGGGGGAGTTCTTTTGTCTTGTGTGTGTGCAGGGGATGCACACGACATGACTGATTTTGTGTGACTTTCCATTCCTACTGTTTTTTTAAGGTTGTGTGACATATATGTGTTTGTAAGTGTATTGTAGTGATGGGTGGTACTGTGTCTGAGAACCATACGGATGTGTAGGGTTTTGTTTCTGGTATGTTTGATGGTTTCCTTATATGTCTTTTTCCCAATGTCGCGATTCCCTGTTGGTTCCCCCGGGTGCTGAGTGTTTCCTGATAATCAATGTATATGTGTAAGTTACGGAGTTCTGTGTGCTCCGGCGGCCTTGTTCCCGGTGGAGGGAAGTTTATGTTGTATGGTCACTTGGTTCTATCTGTTTTCTCCGGGTTCGGAGTGTAATGTCTGTGTTTTTCATGTTGGATTATGGGTTCATTTTTATGCTGCCCGACCTGTGTATAATGTACTCATTGTAAACAAAATTTTGTGTTTGTATGTGTCTTATAATGTGTCATTGTAGATATGTGCGTGGGTATGATTATACGATTGGGTGCATACAATCCCTTGAGAGGGTTTCATGTTCAAGGATTGTGTGAGGCTGTATTCGTTAGTGTCTTGTTGTGTACCTGGCTGTGTTGTGTGTTGAATCTACCGTGGGCCTGTTGGAATTGGTTCCGTATGCAGCACATTGTAACACTGAATTGGATTGCCTTTAATATACTGTTAGGGGATTTTGGGTTTGTACATGGGGGTCCGTACGTGTGTGTACGGTTCTGCTCCGCTTGTGTCTTGGTTACTGTTTCCGTTTTATTGTGTTGTGTGAATTATCTTTTGTGAATTTATATTTGTTAATTTGTATACTGTTAAACGTCCCAAGTTCTGGGTGGTGTGTGGTAGCATGCATCTGCTAGGTATTAGTGAATATATATATATTTTGTACATACTTTTCGTTTTAAATAAATAAATGGTTTGGAGGCAACGAGCCAATACCCAATCTAATTTTTGCACTCAAAATTCTGAATATTCGTATCAAGGAAACTACTGAATTGGGGCTATGATAGACAGCACCTAATAGTTCATGCCAAGCAGCTCCTATTGGTCCACTCGTGACAGCTCCGGTTTATAGCAAACCACTTCTACTCAAGTACTTATTAATCTAACCCGTCCTCACACTAGGCAGTTTAAAGCATCGGCCGTCCTCTCCAAACGCATTCATCAATTTTAACATACTGTGTATTAAAAATGGTTTGTTCCCATATATAGATTAATATTTTGTATGCATATAAATTTTATGTATAGTTAGGCGTTGGTTAGATTAGGTGTTTAGGTTCTGTTTGCGATTATTTGTCATTTTAGTACGTGGGTGAAGCATTTACAGCGTTATGGTTCGAATAGAATTCGTCGGTGAAGCACTTGTTCCGGAACTGTTGAACATCAACAGTTCCAGAACTGTTGTGATTCCAGTGATTCCAGGCACCCGCCAAACCCCCTATTTATGAATGAAAAACGGTTTACACACGACTCACAACTTATTTCGTTCGAACACTTCCGGAACAAGTGCTTCAGTGTCGAATTGTGTTCGAACCACAACACTGTAAATGCTTCATCAACGTACTACAAATACAAATAATCGCCAACAGAGCCTAAACACCTAACCAAACCTAACCTAACCTATGCTTATATATGCACAATATGCTAATTTATTTTAATATTAATTTATTTTTGAGAAAATTCCCGTTTTGAATGAACAGCATGTAAAAATTTATGAATGCGTCTGTGGGGGTCGACCGCTGGATGTAATGGACTTGAGTCGAGGACGGGTTGCAACAGTTGTGAGTCGTGTGTAAACTGTTTTTCATTCAAACGGTTTGGCGGGTATATGGAATGGATTTTTGGCCTTTGTTTAGAGGGCGGGCTAACTCTCAACTAATGATTTCCAAACACTTTTGGAACAAGGGCTTCGCTCAAGTCCTCTGTTTGAACCACATTTCTATAAATGCTTCACTCACGTACTTCAAATACAAATAATCACAAATAAAACCTAAACACCTAACCTTTCCAGTGCCTAAATGTGTACAATATGCTAATATATAACAATATTAATTTATGTTTGAGAAAAGTTCTGTTTTGAAGGAACAGCATGTTAAAATTTATGAATGCGTCTTTGGAGTCGACCGCTGGAAGGAATGGACTTGGTTTGAGGACGGGTTGAGTGTTTACATTTATTAAACGGTTTATTAGCATAGAAACTTCCCAATTATATATTATCATCGTTTATAAAAAGCCTCCTAGTATTTCTGATCTCATAAACTGATTAATATATGTAAACAAAGACGCCAAAGATTGAGAAAAGATGTAGAGGCTTCGTAAGTAATTGGGAAACTGCCTGTTTCATTCCAGGTCCAGGAGGTTGGCAAAGGGTCGTTTGGTGTTTCGTAAATTAAAAGGAGAATGTGTTTTTTTTTGGGGGGGGCTGAATCTCCCATCGTTGGATGCGGGGTCTTGTATTATGGAAAGTTTGTCCGCTGGCCTCTTGGTCGTTTACGGTTTGGGCGAATATTACATTCTTTAAAGGTGGTGTTAAGCCGTCCGTCCTCACCCTCCCCCTCTCTCTACCGCTATTCTGCCCCACCTCTGGGAGTTCTTCCCAGCTCTTGTTCTTTCTCACCACCCCGTGTCCTTTCTCACTACACCGTGTGCTTTCTCACCATCCCGTGTTCTTTCTCACCACCCCGTGTTAATCCCCACCATCCCGTGTTGTTCACCACCCCGTGTTCTTCTCCACCCCGTATCTGTCAATTACGCAAAGTTGAGGCGTCGGACTACGCATAAAGTTGCAACTGCACCTTTTTCCAAGCCGGAACTTGGTTAAATTGAGCATCCGTCAGGTAATTACAGCTGCATCAACATATGGAAACGTAAAAAATGCAACTGTTTTCCCTCACCAGCAACGCTAAACACCCAATTGTTTTGCCTAACCAGAAATGTTAGAAATGTTACTGCTTTACCTACTCTGAAATGCTAAAAAAGAAACCTCTGTTTTGTTTTAATTTGAACTAAAACGTAGCATTTTTAGCAGATTGGTCGATTGCGTTAAACAAAATGCGACGTGTTGAATATTTCTGGCACCACTGGTGTGTGTGTGTGTGTGTGTGGGAAGTAATCTGGAATAAATGATTCACATATCAAGTAACTGATGTGATCACTCAGACTGTTGGGGGTCACTACAGGTCATCAAACACAGAGGCAGGTGATTTCCGCCTTAAATACTCTTTTTTTTGGAGAGTCTAAACTCCAGATCATTATCAGGAAGGTCCAGCTAATTCACCAACCCGAATTGCCTGAGGTGCTTACATAACAGAGGGATTCGCTGCTCTTCCTCCAGGGGGTGTGGTTGTGTCGGCTTGGCCCCGCTGTTGCTGCCAGGAGTGTGCGGTGTTTGACTGTTGCAGGTGATGTGACGGGTGCCCTGTGGTTGTGAGGACAGGAGGGATGGAGTCGCCATTGCCTCCTGTAAAGCGGTTATTGACGGCTGGATTAGAATTTTCCGGCTCTGTGAATTACTCAGCGGTGGAGGTGGTATTGTCTGATCTCCTGCGAGTTGATGTGGCTTCCATCGGGTGCGTCCAGGTCATCTCTGCTCATCGGGAAGTTTATTACAGCGTATGTGTTCGCGGCCTTTGTGGGCCGTTTTGCTGGGCGCTCATTTAGGTTGCGCAAGGGTGCTGGTACTGTGGTCGTGTCGGACCGCAGCAGCGCTACTACTTATGTAAGTGTCCACGGTGCACCTTTCAAGTTCCCTGATACCTTGCCGTGCCGTTATTTTGGGCAGTTTGGCCGGGTGTTGCACATTTGGATGAATGTGATTTCATCTGGCCGACTGAAGGGTGTGTCAAATGGGTCCCGGACACTCACGATGAGGCTTACGTCTGTCGTCCCATCTTCGGTGCTCCTGGTGATATATTATATCCGAAGTTTTTATGCCAGTCAGCCGCAGACCTGTTTCCGGTTGGCTTGTCGGGCTATCAGGCTGCTGTTTACCGAGCGGGCACCATGGAGCACACAAACCTGTTCCGGGAGGAGGACTTCCCTCGTCTAGAGGTTCCAGAGGACTCTGTTAGTGGTGAAGTCCTGCACCGTCTGGAGATGTTAAGCATGCATCAAGTGAGGGGCCGGCCCCCTGCTGCTCCCCCCTGGGTGGTGATGGGGGCCTCAGGGACGTGGTGGGTGTTGTCTCTCCGCCGCTTCTCAATTCTCCAGTTGCTGTGTCTTCCAAGGTGGACTTTGGCGGTGCCTTGTCGCACGCTGGGGGGATATGTGCGGTGCGTGTCTCTGTGGATATCCATGCGATACCGTCTGTGATGGTGTGTGATCTGGTGCCTCCGGTAGTCGAAGCAGCTGCGGTGTTTGGTGATCGTGAGATGCGGGACCGTGTGCGGCCTCCTGGTGGTTCTGCTGTGGCGCCTCTGAGGGATGTAGACAGTTCGAACGACTTGTGCCCAGTCTCGAAGCGCTCGCAGAGGGCTCCTAGTTTGTCACCCCCTCGTTGTGTCACCTGGGCCGACGTGTTGGACTATGCGGATTCGTCATCTTCTGAGGATGATGGTGGTGATTTGCCAGGGGCTCTTTCGGGGCCTGCTAGTGGTGAGCTCGTTGAGGTGGTGGGTGACCACTGTTGTGGGGGCAGGGAATGGTGTGGGGGGGGGGGGCATCAGTTCCTGCCCCTGTGCCACTTCTCGCGCTCCCATGTCTGAGTTCCCCAGATTAGGGGGTTGTGGCTCCTGATGTGAGCGTTGGTGTGGCCCGTGACTTGGTCGACGGTTGAAGAAGGACGCTTGCTGGGTGGACGCTGTCATCCAACCCCCTGTGCAGCTGTCCCCCATGCAGCAGCCCTCTGAGTTCCAGTCTTCTGTGCTATGGCCGCCCGTGCCCCTGCCCCCGGTGCCACAATATCCCGAACTCCAGTCTTCCGTCGTGCCGCCGCCCGTGGTGGCGGGCCTAGTGAGGCCTATCCCGGAATTTATACACTGCCGCAGTGTCTCACTTGATGGTATCTAGCGAGGATTGGGCTATGTGAGAGGGGTACTGTGAAAAATATCCTTATCTTCAGTTTCCTGATAAACATCTGCAGTCCTGAACTCGTTCTCGGCTGTTAGTGTTGTGTTCCTGTTGTATTTAGCTTTGTATAGTGTTTGTGTACTATTAATGTTCCTGTTTTCTGTGTTATCTCTATTGTATGGTTTTGGTCTGTTGTGGCGCTCCACTGTCATATTTTTTTTTTTGGGTCTTTTTATGATTTTGTTTATGATATGTTCTTGTTGTATTTTGCTTTGTATAGTGTTTGTGTAATTTTGTTCCTATGTTTTCCTTGTTTTATGTGTTGTATGGTTTGGATCTGATTGTGGCACTCTGGTGCCTTATTATTTTTATGTGATTATTTATGTATTTGTTTATACCTTTATAAAAAAAAAGGTAACAGCCTGTCCTCACACTTAAAGCTCCGCCATTTTAACGTTTTCAACCACAGCCAGAATTTCAGGGATATATTGCTAGGTAAAACACCGTATTATGGACTCTGGACTAATGATGATCCTCCTGCTTTCTTTAATATGCTTTTCTTTATCCTCCAGGCTATGCTATGCACCTTGTTATCTGTTTCCACTTTTTCCCATGTGCACTTATCCATTTTAATTCGTCCTCTTGTCGTTAATATCTTTTTCATAATTTCACCTTTCATTTTATTTCCTTGACTGGATATCTCCTCAATCTTTCAACGCTGTCCACCGTCACCTACAAATATGTCCTTTCCTGTCCTCTTGCTCTACCTCGATCCCTCTCTCTCTCTCTCTCTCTCTCTCTCTCTCTCTCTCTCTCTCTCTCTCTCTCTCTCTCTCTCTCTCTCTCTCTCTCTCTCTCTCTCTCTCTCTCTCTCTCTCTCTCTCTCCCTCTCTCTCTGTCTCTTCCCAGAATTCTATTTTCAACAATTTACCGTCTCTTTATTCTTGTTCTCATCTCCCCACGGCCTGATTCTCCTCTCTCTCTCTCTCTCTCTCTTTCCCCTGACAGGCGAGCCGGTGGAATTCAAGATCAAGGAGGGCAACGCGGAAGGTCTCTTCTCCCTAGATAGCGCCAGCGGGCGTCTCTTCTCCCTGCAGCCACTAGACTATGAAGAGCAACAACAGGTGGGTTCGACCCTCAAGCGGTGGTGGGACTTATTTAATATGGATTATTGGCTTGGAATTTTACCGCGGTGTTTTATCTTTAAACTTCCGACTCTCATATTTTGGAACATTTCCTAGCTGGGTAGCTGATGCTAGAGCTATTATTATGAATATTATTACACAGATAAATCACATTATTTTGATATGTAAATGAGAAAATACACAGCAGCCGTGTTAAGGATTCTAACCCATGTGCCGGGTGTTCCCAGACGCACGCTCTAGTCGACTACACCACGACATGGTCATAAGAATTGTAACCTGGGGCACTACTGCACTCTCGAGGATATCCGCCCAGCGCATAGGTTCGAACCCTCATCACGGCTCCTGTGGGTTTTGTCATGAATATTATTTTCAACGTTTTTGTGGCCACATTTTTCCAATTTTCTGTCCATTTCCCTTTGAAATTTAGTCGAGAATCATGTTGCTTGTTTTTTGTTTTATAAACGTTTTCTAAATTTCAACCGTTCTGTTCTCACATTTAATTCCAAAAATTCAATTTCGAAAAGGTATAGAATACTCATGACTGCTATTTTGTATATTATGTTAATAGGAAATTTTAGTTTTGAAGCCACCTGTTGCATTACTCGAATATTCTTTATAGACTTTCTTGTATACCCGAAATTCGGAATGATTTTTTTTTGAAGATCATGTGTGTGTGAATATATTCCTTAATCTGTGAATATACATATGTGCACAGTTATATAGACCCAAAATGATGCCATGAAATTTGACTGGTGTGCCGAGATAGAGCGATACAGGGAGAGCCATAGTTCTCTAAGCTGTCCAAATTGAGTTGTAATTAGTTTTGAATTGGTAAAGACGTAACTTGGTAATTGGGGTATTAGGAGTCGCCTACTTTACCCGATGATGTAAATTAACAAGTACTGAAGTCAATTTACTCACATTAGCTTACTCACACGGTCCCCAGGAGAATATATATACATGCAATATTTTTATAGCGATGAGACCCTGACTATTGGAATGCTGTCCTCGGGTCCTAGATCGATACGTCTCAGGATAGTAGCATATATCAATGAAACAATTTAACTCCCTACAAAAACATTCAATTGAATGAGTTTGTCGCCTCTGCATACATCATCCTGGTTCCTCTGCTCACCGATAAACTTGAGCGAGACCCTCCTGGCGTCTGGAGATGTTGCAGCCTATCATCTCATCGTCTGGAGATGCTGCAACCTAACATCTCATCGTCTGGAGATGTTGCAACCTAAAATCTCATCGTCTGGAGATGTTGCAACCCATTCTTGGAGACTAAGTAGCGTTAAGTAATCTATAGAAATCCTCATACAAAACTTCAGCGACCAGTTCCGTCACTCTTGAATGCGAATATTGTCTTAGGATAAAAGATTAACCATCCCGTCCTCCAAAGGTTTCCCAGCGTCAAGAAACTGTCTTACTAAAGTGCCCTTATCCTAACCTACCATAGGACCCGAAACAGAAAACTGGACAGTGTGTCCATTTTGTCAGCCGCTACCATTTTCTGGTGCGTCGATTTTTTTGCCTTTGGTAGAGTATACGTCAAAATGCGACGTTCTATTAGAAGGACGGGTTCGATTAGCAGCACTGAGCTTCCCTAAGCTTCCTCGATGCACTATCGAGGCATCTATATATATATATATATATATATATATATATATATATATATATATATATATATATATATATATATATATATATATATATATATATATATATATATATATATATCTTTAGCTATAAATGAAAATATTGGTTTGTCTAAGGTTAGAAGCCAAACGCCTCACCCATTTTCTCCCAGTAACTGCTGTTGAGTACAGATCAGATTTATCTGATCTGCTGATTTATCTAACTGCTGTTGAGTACAGATTAGATAAATTTACAGATTTATCAATTTTTTAAAGTGTATATTTCTCTACATTTTGTCCAATGTACCTCTAATCATATATAGTATCTTTCTTCTGTGTATAATTGTGCTCGTGTGTGTGTGTGTTGTTAGCACGAGCTGGTGGTGGAGGCGCGGGTCGGGGAGGCGTCGACCGAGGCCACAGTGGTGGTCAATGTGAAGGATGTCAATGACCACGCTCCGGCCTTCCCCCGGGCCGTGCACGAAACTCAGATCACTGAGGAGGACGACAGACATCTTCCGAAGACCATCCTCACGGTGAGTGTTACGTTTTGATGAACATATTCTCATGGTGTCTAGTTTCGTAGACCATATTCTCATGGTGTTTAGTTTCGTAGGCCATATTCTCATGGTGTCTAGTTTCGTAGGCCATATTCTCATGGTGTCTAGTTTCATAGACCATATTCTCATGGTGTCTAGTTTCATAGACCATATTCTCATGGTGTCTAGTTTCGTAGGCCATATTCTCATGGTGTCTAGTTTCGTAGGCCATATTCTCATGGTGTCTAGTTTCGTAGGCCATATTCTCATGGTGTCTAGTTTCGTAGGCCATATTCTCATGGTGTCTAGTTTTCTTAGACAAAACAATGTAAACAAATCAATACAATAACGACCCAACTAAACATGTATACAAAGTGGAGAAAAGACAAGAATTGATTATGGTAAAGTATCAGACTATAGCTACATTTCATTTGCTCAAAAATATCTAAGAACCTTTATAACATTCAGAAAGCTCTGGTCAGGAAGGATTGACTGGGCGCCAATCCATAACTATCCGCCCCTGTTTACCCAGCATCAATTGGGTACATGGTTGTTAATCGATTGTCAGGTCGTGTTTCCAGGTAAAACTAGAAGGGTAAGGCTTACCAAGAGCTATGGGAAGGGAAAGCTCTCAGCCTGTTAACAGGAGTCAGAAGTCGTGTTCTTCTGTACTCACCTGTGTAAAACTAGAAGGGTAAGGCTTACCATGAGCTATGGGAAGGGAAAGCTCTCAGCCTGTTAACAGGAGTCAGAAGTCATGTTCTTCTGTACCCACCTGTGTAAAAAATATATACGAAAGAGAATGAATTCAACGAGGAAAGAATTTAGCTGGTACTAATTATTCTATTACTTGTTGACCAGACCACACACTAGAAAGTGAAGAGACGACGACGTTTCGGGCCGTCCTGGACCATTCACAATCGACTTGAGAATGGTCCAGAACGGACTGAAACGTCGTCGTCCCTTCACTTTCTAGTGTGTGGCGTGGTCAACATACTTCAGCCACGTTATTGTGACTCATCGCCTCCATATTGTATTACTTCCCTGCCTTTTTTTTTTATTCTCCTCCTCCTCCTCCTCTTCTTCCTTGTCTTCCTCTTCGTCTACGATACTCCAAAACATAAATTTTGATTTAGCTCTGTGCCTTAATAATGTCACGATATCGGACCATCTTTATGGCGCGCGCCGCTGTGCTTTTATTGAGGCCCAAAAATATTCATAGTCTGAACACACTTTAAGTAGACTTCCCCTTCTGCATTATAATGAAGACGAGTTTAAAGACCAACATAGTAACAGAGACCTGAAACTACGTCACTCTAAAGTGCTTTGATTAATAGTAAATGATAACTATTTACTAAATATCTTTTTTATTATTATTTACTCATTTAATAATAATTGTAATCAGTTAATATGTGGAATTTTTTAGGCATGGAATGTGACACATGGGTCTCGTAAACAAACTCCGGTGACGATAAATATATATTGAAAATAAACGCGTGTGAATTAAAAAGTGAATTCATATTCACGACCATAAACATACGAAAACACTTATTGATATGAAAACTTTAGTTATACTATTTTCATCCACGTTGCTTATATTATTGTTTATCCACAGGAGTGGACAAACAAATAGTTGCTGGAGTTCAATCCTAATAAGTGTAAGGTAATGAAGATTGGGAAGGGAGAAAGAAAACCAGAAGTTGTCTACACCATTCATGGACGGCAATTGCAGGAATCTGAGAAAGCGATTTGGGAGTGGATATAATTCCCTTCCTAGCACCAGAGGCACACATAGGCATGGTGACATCAGCAGCATATGAGACGCTGGCACACAATAGAACGTCGTTTAGAAACCTAAATCAGGATGCGTTAAAAGCAATTTACAAAGCTTTTGTTAGACCAGCACTGGAATAAGCAGCACCTGCTTGGAATCCATACTTTGTGTAACAAAACTAAAATCGAAAAAATGTAGAGGTTTGTTAATAGATTAGTGTCGGAGCCTAGAAGGTTAAATTATGTGGATAGGCTGAAGGAACTGGATCTCACAACCTTGCAGCACAGAACAAAATAGAGGAGATATGATAACAACGTACAAGATACTGAGGGGAATAGACAAGGTGGACAATGCCAGCCTCTTCAAGTTGAAAGACAGTAGGCCAAGAGGATACAAGTGGAAGCTGGAAACACAAATGAGCCGAACAAATGTAAGGAAATAAGTACCTTGTACAGGTGGTCAACAAGTGGAATTCACTAGGAGGAGAAGTTGTGGAATCCACCTCCATTCTCAACTTTAAGAAAAGGTTCGACAAAGATATTTTTAACGTCAAAATAGTAAAGTTTTGAAGCAACAGGTACAAAAGGGCTACTAGGTGGAGCATGAAGAGCTAGACCTCACTCTCCCGTAGACACTGATAGGGATGTACTATTAGGTGAGTACTCCTCCCCTTCTCGTCTATTCTTCCTTCTCCTCCACCTCTCTCTCTCTCTTCTACTTCTTCTCCTTCTCCTGCACTTCTTTTCACATTCCTCCTCTCCTATTCTGTCTATGCACCTCTTCCTTCCTTGTCTTTACTCTTCCTCTACTCTCCTTCCTCCTCCTCCTCCTCTTCCTCTACTCTCCTTCCTCCTCCTCCTCCTCCTCTTCCTCCTTCTCCTCCTCTTGCCTCCGATTATTCCTTCTCTCCTTCCTCCCTTTTCAACAAATAGTGAAACTGCTCACCCTTCTCTTCTTCAAATAAAATAAATTTCAGGGGAATTTATTAAGTTTTATGGAGCATCACGATCCTTAATGTATTGTTGTGATGCGGATTTATTGCATTAATTTATTCTGAAGGATGTATTCGTTTGTTGAACATAACTCGGCGATGTATAATGCAGAATTAGAATATATATTAATGTTTAAACATTGTAGGTAGTGAAATGAAGGAGATTATCAGGGAAGATAATTATTTTTTACTTCTGGGGTTTTCCTCTCTATTTTATTTTATTTTTTATTATTTTCAGTTTTAATTTTGGTTTAATTATATCTATGGCTCTTGTGAATACCATATACCTCCCAATTGTTTTATTGAGTGTCACACACCTCCCACCTTTTTTACTGAGTGGTGATTAGCCACTCGTGGTGATTGGCCATCAGTTCAAACACGCCTCTTTCCCCCCCCCCCCACTCACACAAGAAATGTGTTGATCAGTAAGAATGTAGGACTTTTAACTGTGGTTTCAGAACTGGACATCCTCCTATGTCTTGCAACCTGATTGGCTGTCAGTTATCAGGATATTACCGCACCACTCAGGTGTTGATTAAGCTGTTCGTCAGGAGAGTAGTTCTGTGATTGCATGTTGACTACCTTGTCAATATCATTAAATTCATAATGCTGCTGAGATTAGAGATTAAAGAATGCTGAAAAACTTTAAGATTTTCAGAGTTTTATTGTTTTTTACCTTAAGCTAACTGATTGTAAGTTAAGACAATATCTATCTTTTTCCTGTTCTCGTTTTTGGCTGTCAGTTAATTTTGTGTTCTCTCCATTTGCTCGCTAATTTGTTTCCTTGTCAATCATGTTTGTGTCTTTCTGACACGCTAATTACCTGCTCATTGAAGACCTTTCTCTTCATACTGAGAAAGTGTCAGCCATCAAAGGGGGGTGTGCTATTCCTAGTTCAAGTTCTATTTCTAAGTATTCATTTATAGTTCAATACCTCCTTCGCTGTCTTTCAAGACATTGATACTCAAGTTAAGACTTGAGTCTCAAGTATCAGTCTCGAGTATCAGTCTCAAATATCAGAGACTTTTCATTCTCTGATACTCAGATGACGAATATGCACTAACTCTGCCAGTATTGTAAGACTTTGTATATCCTGTTTCACTGTGTAACAATCTGTTCCTGAGTAATGTTGTTTTCTGATTGCTTTTGAAACCAAAGTATAAAAGACACATTACTATTATTTCCCCCTCCAGCTTTGTTTTGACCTCAGACAGCTTAGGGAAGACGTCTTGAATAGACTTGAAGGACTTGAACTCCCTAGCTAGAGCCGAGACACCTTGTTCCATAAGTCGGTAGCCTTCAGGTACCTTCAAGACGCCTTGCCTAAGCTGTCTGAGACAAAGGTCAAAGCAAATTTTGTGGGGGATAAAAGGCTGTACTTTGGAGGCATAAGAACTGGATAGTAACATTTACTACACAGAAGTAAAAATTGCGTTGCATTGTGTTATTAATGAATTTGATTAGAAATTAGCAATTTTGTCCAATCATTTTGGCAGCAACGGACCCATTAAGGTCACACAATCTTAAATAGTTATGCCGTTTGTGCAATATCAAGCCCTAAAAAAGATCTTGTTTGCCTTGCTTGTTTATTGAAGACGCTGGAGCATGACAACAACATCTTTCTCAATGCGCGTGAAAATTAGCAAAAAAGCAAAAAAAAAAAAAAATAGGCTCTGTTGAAGTTCACATCCTTTCAACGCACAGCTAGACCATCGCCAGACATATTCTGACCAACAACACTAAATAATTGACAGATTCAACAATTGGAGAACAGACGTAGCCGAAGTACTGCATATCAAACACTCACTTCCACCCAATCAGCAGCCAGCTTACACCTAGGTACATCTTTCCATCTACAAGACCCAGACAGAACTGTCAATTCACACTCCACTTACTGCCCCAGCCAATTAACAAGAATTCTGGGCAAGATTACCCAATACCCACTACTGGTTACCACCTTTACCACCAGTGCGTTCTGGCTACTAGGTACGACATATATATATATATATATATATATATATATATATATATATATATATATATATATATATATATATATATATATATATATATATATATGTCGTACCTAGTAGCCAGAACGCACTTCTCAGCCTACTATGCAAGGCCCGATTTGCCTAATAAGCCAAGTTTTCATGAAGTAATTGTTTTTCGACTACCTAACCTACCTAACCTAACCTAACCTAACTTTATCGGCTACCTAACCAAACCTAA